CCCCCCGTGAAATAAATAAATAAATCTTAAAACAAATACATTGTTGTATATGTAAACACATGCAAACAAATCAAACCAAAGAAAGAAGAACACAGAAAATGATAAGCTCAGGGAAATGTGCATGAACCGGATGAGAGCAGAAAGTCTGACGGCTCTGAAACGCTTCTAACCCTGACTCCTGGTCAGTTGAAGCAGATACATGACCGCTCTCTCACCCGAAAACCATTCATCTCAAGAGATGAGACAGATCAGCTCTGCTACCCAGAGACCTCTACAGGAGACGCAGTGTCCCAAGTTCCTGGAACTTCTCCATCTGTATATGTGGTTTGGTAAGTCTTTTTTAAAAAAATGTGACAAATACCACAGTCTAGGAAAAAGGAGTAATACCACGATTGAGCTGAAAAGTGACCCACTCACCTGATTGATGGAGTTGGCGGCACAGGATGCAAGGCCTGTGCCCAGAGAAGTAAGCAGAAAGCAGGGCCAGTCAAAAGGTCCTGGGGCCAGTGCAAATCCAGCCGAAGTGGTGCTGACGACCAGAGCTGCAAGACAGAAGGAGAGCAGACATCTCATCACTGAAGCGCAGTCCGGACCATAAACGCCAAAACCCAGCCCTCTTCCATACAGACCAATCCATTTCATCGGTGACGCAAACTGCAGGCTAACCCTCTCTCACTAAAAAAATTAAAAAATTCTTTTCTGATTATCAAAATTCTATGTGTTCATTATAGAGAAATGCTAATTTTCCTTTAACGCCACTATACTCAAGAGGACCAAAAAAAAAAAAAAAAATCGATGTTCCAGATCCAAGCATTCACTTATTCATTCACAAACGCTTACTGAATACCTAATTCGTGATGGGTACTGTGCTGATCAGGCAGTATATGGGATAAAGGTCTGTAAGGGCTCCTTCCTGCTCTCAGGAACTCTACTTGACAGGGAGCTGAGAGTCATACATCAATAATTCTAACACGGGGCAGCATATAATAAGTGTCCCAATTCTATGACAAGCTTCGGACCACCTGAGCAGAGGCTCACCTGTAAAGGATGATGATTCTGAGGTCCAGATAACGGTTAGAGGATGACCAGAAGGAGATGATAATCCTATAGCCACCAATGGGAACAGAGGGATAGAAGCAAAACCATGTAATTCAAGCATCTGCTAAGGCTGGTCCTTCCTTTAGGCCCTGGTCCTTCTTTGCTGGGGGTTTACAGAAGCTGACAGGTCCACACTGATACGGGGCTGTAGAAATTCACTGCAAAAGGATCACCAGTGGTAGGCTGATCGGAGAAGACTTCAAGAAGATGGCATTTAAGCTGGACCTTCAGGAGGGGAGGTAAGAAAAGGAGGAGAATGGTAGGGTGGGCAACATCACAGGTGGTTGGAGAGTTCCAAGAACAGGCACAGGGGCAAGAAAGACCAGTGTCAGGAGTCTAAAGTAACCGGACTCCATCTGCCAGGATTTCAAACCAAACACATAGGAAGCACTACTGAGTCTCTTGTCTCTTGCCCTGCTCGACATCCCATCGACTGCAGAGTACTGTGTTTCAAACCCCCCTCTAATGCCACCATCAAGCCCACTGACTCACAACCAGGGATGGTTCTGCCCCCTGGGGACACTGGGCAATGTCTGGAGACATATTTGGCTGTCATGCTGGAGGTGGGCAGACGCTGGCCAGGGATGCCTCTAAACATCCTCCGGCACGCAGGACAGCCCCCCACAACAAAGAATTTTCTGGCCCAGAATGTCAGGAGTGCTGAGGCTGAGAAACATGTCATCTAGTCCAAGCTATTATCTTGTCTGGACAATGGCAAGAGCCTGTCCCCTAAGTGACCTCCTTGCTTCCACCTTGCCTCTCTCCCAAATGATATTTTATTTTTCTTTATTTATTTATTAGATTTTTATTTATTTGACACAGAGAGAGAGAGCACGCTCACAAGCAGGAGGAGGGGCAGAGGGAGAAGCAGACTCGCCGCTGAGCAGGGAGCCTGATGTGGGGCTTGATTCCAGGACCCCAAGATCATGACCTTGAGCTGAAGGCCAACGCTTAACGGACTGAGCCACCCAGGTGTCCACCAAATGATATTTTAAAAATATAAGGCGATCATATCAGTCTGCTTCAGAAGTCCCTTGACACTACACCTGGACTAAAAGGCAAACTCTTTCCTCTGCCGTGTGGATGTGTCTCATGCCTCTCTCTAGCCCACTCACTGTTCTCCATTGGGAGGGCCTTCTGCTCTCTAAGCAGGCCAGGCTTCTTGCCTGTGGGTTCCTGCTCCCTTCCATATTCCTTCAGATCTCGTCTCAAATAGGACTTCTTTGTTTTTTAATTTTTTTTTAATTTTTTTTTAAAGATTTTTATTTATTTGACAGAGAGAGAGAGAGGGCGAGAGTAGGAACACAAGCAGGGGGAGTGGCAGAGGGAGAAGCAGGCTTCCCGTGGAGCAGGGAGGCCGATGTGGGACTCGATCCCAGGACCCTGGGACCATGACCTGAGCCGAAGGCAGACTCTTAACGACTGAGCCACCCAGGCACCCTGTTTTTTTATTTTGAGAGAAAGAGAGCACATGAGTGGGGGTGGGGCGGGAAGGGGAGGGGCAGAGGGAGAAGGAGAATCCCAAGCAGGCTCCAGGATCAGCACCAAGCCTGATGCGGAGCTCGATCTCACGACCCTGAGATCATGACCTGAGCCAAAATCAAGAGTTGGCGCTTAACCAACTGAGCCACCCAGGCGCCCCTCAAATATGACGTCTTAGGGAGGCCCTCCCCAGGCACTCCTTCGGGCAGGAGCTGACTACGTGGTTCACCACTAGACTTTCAGGTCAATGGCTATGCCAGGCCCGGAGGAAGGGACAGGGGAGGAAGAGTGGTGGCTGCCAGACGGCAGGGTCTCAAGCTGAGTAGTTTGCAAGTTGTCTGGTTGGCAGAGAGAGTCACTGACAGCCCAATGCAAGGATGTGACCTGTCACTGGAAGGTTAGCCTGGAAGCAGTGGGCACTGTGATTTACTACAGGCAGAGGGTTTTTCAGAGAAACAATTGGAGAGGCTCTACTGTTAATCCACTCTAAGGGTAGTAAAAGCAGGACTCAAATAGATATAAGGGCTATTGTGATTGGTCACTTGTTAGGACTTGGTAATTGCGAGAAGGAGAAAGACAAAACAAAATAACAACAAAAGAGGATAAAAGGTAAAGTGCTGCACCACAGGGTGACTTGGAGAAGCATTATAACAGTAACAGAAAGAAGTCCATCCCGGGAAAGGTGATCGAGCTCGCTGGTCTTTAGAAAATGTGCTGCTTTTGAAGAACCACAGGATATCCATGTAAAAATGTACAGAAAGTGACAGAAGATGAAACTGGAGCTCAGGAAGAGCCTGGGGAGGCAGGAGGGAGGCACGAGGCTCTTGAGTCACTTGCCCAGAGACCATGGCTGAGCCCGAGGGAATGGACGAGATAATCAATGAAGTACGGTGGCAAGAAGTGTATAAAAAACGTCAGAACTTCGGGGCGCCTGGGTGGCTCGGTTCGGTAAGTGTCCGACTCTTGATTTCGGCTCAGGTCACGATCTCAGGGTTGTGAGATCGAGCCCAGCCTCGGGCTCCGTGCTCAGTGGGGAGTCGGCTTGCGTTTCTTTCCTTCTGCCCTCTCCCTGCTCCTGCTCACTCTCTCTAATACATAAATAAAATCTTTTTTAAAAATGTCAGAACTTCACAGATGGGGGAAAAGGAAACCGTGTCACACCCAGACAAAGAACATCACGGGACAAGAACCAGGAGGATGAGGTGCGGCGATGGGACCCCAGGAAACAGGACCAGAGGCACCACCGACAGCAGCAAGAAATGATCGGGAAACTGACCGCTCCTCCCAATGATCACGAATTGGTTGGCACGTCCTTCAATCTAGTTTTATCAGCAGCATATAGAAGCTCTTTCCTGTTTTACCATATGGACAAGCCCCTAATGTCTAGACTGGACACAGGTTTCTTGGCATTTCTGTGTTTCTTTGATTGGGCTCAATGACAACGTGCAAAGGTGACTTGAGTACATGTGTGTAGATGGTCACCTGAAACCAGAATATGTCCTTTGGCCAAAAAGTCCCTCCTTTAACGATGTCGTCCCCAAATGTGGTGTGCGTCCACATGTCCTGGGAGGACAAGTACGGGAATGGGCACGCAGGTTTGGATAAAAGGTTACAAAAAGGCAAGCAGCAGATTAGGACCTGAAGGCAAACAGGAGAAAAGAGGCTGCTGGCCTGGGCCAGGAAGCGTGCACGGCTCCCCCCTCCTGTCCTCGGCTCCGGGGGTGCAGCGTGCTCTGGCCCACGTCCAATACCACGGCGGGGGGGCACAGCAGTCTCACCTAAGTCCAGACCAGCGAACAGCCACACGGAGACTTACACCCAGAAGAAAATGCCACGTGACTCCAGGCTCGCCCACAGCCCTTGCAGGTTCAAGTAAGAGGACATTCTACCCACGCACGACAGGGAAAGAACGGCCCCTCACTTCACAGTCCACTGAGCCATACCTGCACTTATATAATGACTCCTAAGGAAGGCACCTGTTTTAGAGCAAACAAAACTCCTTTTAGAACACTCAAAACAGCTCCCTTCTGTGAGGAGGCTTTTTCATTCTTTATAGATACACGCCATCAATCACCAAGCCTTGTGGATAGGCCGGTGTCCCAGAACGAGTCATCTTGCTTTGCACAACTCAAGAGCTCTCCAGAAAGGTCGGGCGACTCCTCACTTATCGCCTTGTGTGGTGACAAGCCAGGACTGGAAAAAAAAGGCTGGTAACACCCAGGTTACTTCTCAACTCAACCACTCAGGAAGACAGGTTGATGGTGTGTCACTGGGAGAAGTGGAAGGAAAAGAGACAGGAGGGCTTTCCCTCTCAAAATGAACTAAGTAAATTGCTCCCACCCATGGAGTAAATCGGTTGAAATAATTTTTTTTTTTTTTAAGATTTATTTATTTGAGAGAGAGAGAGTGAGAGGGAGAGTGCAGCAGGGAGAGAGAGCATCCCAAGCAGACAGCCAGCTGAGCGTGGAGCCCGACACGAGGCTTGATCGCACAACCTGAGATCACGACTTGAGCCGAAATCAAGAGTTAGATGCTTCACCAACCGAGCCACCCAGGGCCCCTAAAATAATGCTTGACTCTATGGTAAAGCCTTGAACCTTAAACCAAAAGTAGACTATTTGTAAACAACTATGGGAGTTAAAAGAGCACAGAAAATGCATAATTATTTTCTCAATATAGAATTAGTAAAATCCAGAGTCACCAAAGTAACTTTAGCTATCTCTCAGTATCCATATCAACATTTTGTATTGTGTTTTATAAACAAATAAAAAGAAAGAGCAATTTCCACCGTAGTGGGAGAGACAGCACAATAATCACTGAACTGTCAAGATAAAAATGCTGCAAGAAGAAAATTCACTTCGTTTAAACCCAGAAAGGGTGTGTAGCTACATGAAAATAAAACTGTTAATTCAGGGGAGAAAGTATCTTGTTTTTCTTTTTACTTGCCCCGGAGTTTGACTGAGTGATGAACGATACAAAAAGGACATCAAATTTTGACTAACGGGTCAACTCATAAGTTGAGAAGAGACAGAAAGTGATTTGCAAAAAACTGATAAAGGGAAAGGACTATGTTTTAGTAAGACCTAACAATGAGTCAGTTTGCAAAATGGAAACACTGCCTAATTTAAAACTGTACAAATTGTAATGTACATTAAAAACTGATCAGGACTATTATTATAATTATTATCATTGAGGAGGAAATCTGCATTTTGTAACACATTTAAACACTGAACTCTAACAAAGAATGTATTTATACTTACTTCATCAAGGCAATTAATTTAAAGAAAGAGGAAGGCAGAAAGGATTGATAAACTGTACAAGTAAAATTGACCAAAGCAATATTCTCATACAGCACTGCTAACAAATGTAATTAAACTTTTCATTGATTTCCTGGGATTCATTCTGCAACACCAGGATCTCATTAAAAGTGAGTGTAATATATTCTTTGATTAATAACACTTGAAATTATATTTTATTTGGAAATCTCATATTCTGTCCCTTCACATGTAAACATAAAATCAATG